GTGCATCCGCTGGCTCCCGAGGGGGACAGCTCCCACTCGGGCGCCCAGCCACAGTCGCAGCAGCGGCAGGGGCGGCGAACGGCAAGGGCGGCAAGGGAGCACCACCGGCGCACAAGTACCCATGCCTGGGCGCGGGCAAGCCAGGGGGCTGGGACGAGGTCGACCTGGTGGACGCAATGGTCGCGCTGCAGAGGATGGGCCTGAGGCAGAACCAGCGCTCCCGCGAGCACGAGCACATGTTGCCCCTCTTCTACCTGGCGGGCAGGCCGCGCAAGATTTGTAAGATGGGCCTCGAGGCTGGGCTGGACTACCATGCGGCGGTGGCACAGAGGGGCAAGGGCCACGGCCTGGGGGCGCCCTAACTGCACGCGGCCGCGGGGGCGTTCGACGGGCCGGCCGTGGACGCGAAGGAGGGGCAGCACAAGGACGTGCTCAAGGTGCACCAGAAGCTGTTTCACACGGAGCAGGGCATGAAGGTCGTGAAGGAGGTCTTCGGCTGCTTCCGCGTGAAGGAAGCGCACAGCGAGGAGGGCACGGCGCAGCAAGACGTGAAGGCCAAGGTGAGTTTCAACATCAACCCGATGGCGGACGTGCAGATGCTGATCGAGTGCTTGAAGGTGAAGGTCGAGAGCGAGGTGCCGAGCCTGGGCATCCTGAGGAGGGCGATGATGAAGGCCCTCGAGGAGGCAGGGGGATAGCCGTCCGACGGGCCCGCGCCAAAGGACGAGCTGACCAGGGTTGCAGATCGGCAGATGCACGGGCTGCAGAATATGCGCGGCTGAGCAGCGAGACTACCCTGACCACAGTGCAGATGGAGAAGCTGCGCAGATTGGCGGCAGTTGGCAGCGCTCGTGCACGGCAGTTGCTGGATACGGCTGAGCGGAAAAGGGAAAGGCGTTCGGGGGAGGTTGCGCCCAGCGGAGGCAGGCTGACCCCACCATCGGCATGAGGTGAGAGTCCCCCCCTGCCGTCGCGGCACCTCTTCGAAGTCATCGCTGGCGCCAGGCGGCCGCAGCAGGCCCGCTCCGACGGCATGAAGTGTCAGGAAGCGGGGCCATTCCATATCGTTCGCAGTGATGCTGATGTGAGGCATGCAGGCCTGCGGAGTCGAGGGAGACATGCCCCCCAAGCGCATATCATATCATCTCTTCCTCCTTTTGCTCCTCCGCCTCCTCCTCTTCCACCTCCTCCCCCCCTCTTCTTCCTCCTCCTCCTCCTCATCCTCCTCCCCCTCCCTCTCCCTTCGAGGAACACGCAGTCGTCACATAAGCATAAACTGTCGTAGGTCCGCGCGGAGTTCTTGCATCGGCGCTGGACCACCCTGCCTGGCGCGCGGAGCGCGCTGGGGGAGGCGCTGGAATCGCCGCCAGGGGGCCCCAGCGCTCCAAGAAATTCGAGCGGACCCCTGAAAATTGTTATGTTTCTGTCACTGTTAGTTTCCCGATCCCCAGGGGTAGGTGTTTGTCCCGGACCCGTTTTCGATGGTCTTGGGGCCCGTCGATTGGCCAGCCCAAAATCAAGGAGAAGCGCCGGGATCGAACAAATGCTATCGTCGGAGATTTGAGGTGGCGCATGTCCTTGGCCTTCCGATGTGCCAACAAAAAGAACTCATCATACAATGCTAGATTCACGAATGGATAGCAGTGGCCCGGTAAGTGTGATAGGTGTTCTATGTCGTATGTTCGGAAATCAGGTGTGTCGCTACATGTACGGTACGGTCGTTGAATTGTTACGTTATGGATAGTATGATGTGTTTTGGTGTTGTAAATGAGCTAGGTGTGTGATACGTGTCTACTGCATAGTTTAAATGATTTGATGTGGGTGCTGACATATATGTTGCATGTGTGTGGTTGTGTTGTTCATGTGGTACGGTTTACACTTATATGTTGTTTCAGTATGTGATCAGTTGTGTGTAGTGCTTATATTATGCTGTGGTGTCTGCACGATGCATTGCTGCGCGATGCAAGGAAGGCGAGGGAGAAGTTGGAGGGTTGGGCGTCTCCCGGCGGCCTACGACAGGGCTGAGCTGCAGGTGTCATGCACGGCCCCCGCGGGATGCGAACAGGAAAGGAAGAGATTGGGAAAAGGGGTGAAAAAGGAGGAGGAGGAGGATGAGGAGGAGCAGGAGGAGGAGAAAGGAGGACGAGGAGGAGGAGGAGGGGGCGCCCGCCAGAGGGCGGCTCGCACGGCAGCGTGCCGAGCTCGCCCCTTGTCGCGGCTGTCGAGGCCACACCGAGAGGGCCAGTGAGCAAGTTGCAGGGGAGGCGAGGCCTCCTGAGGAGCTGCGGCCTCCTCCTCCTCCTCCTCCTCCCTCCTCCCCCTCCTCCCCCTCCTCCTCCTCCTCCTCCTCCTCCTCCTCCTCCTCCTCCTCCTCCTCCTCCTCCTCCCCCTCCTCCTCCTGAGGAGCTGCGGCCTCCTGCAGGGCCTCCCGAAGTGGCGAGGCGGCCGAAGGAGGCAGGGCCCCGCCCTGGCAGGCGAGGAGGCACGGCCTCCTGAGACGACAGGGGGGGCCCTGCTGCTCCGCCGGCGAACTCCATGTGGATGGGGGGATTGGCCGCCATCCTCGAACCTCGCTCCTCAGTCGTCGGATTCCTCGATATTCGATCAGTGGGCCTCGATGTTCGATGATCGGCCCTCGATCCTCAGGCGCCGATCCTCGAGCCTCGGTTCTCGCGCCTCGACCGTCTGGATTCGATGTTTGATCTTCGACCCTCGACCGTCGACCGTAGATTTCAGATCATCGGCTGCATGATACGCGCACGCGTTTGTATACAGCATGTGTATGTCCTAGGATGGATTGCTACCACCTGATGACGTATCGTCTGCTGCATGGTAGGGTATAGTAAGTGTATGTCGTGTGTGTACTGTGCGTGAGTTCGCGGCGTGTGTGCGCATGCTATGTCAATGGTATGCAACACGGCATGTGTGGTCCAATGTCTGTTATTGTGTGTTCCAACGTATGGTATCCACGAAACTCTCGACAGAACGCATGATGCTTAAAGCATGGCGCAACGATGCATCGTGGTGCTCAAGCACTGCATTCCGTATTGTTCTGCGTGCTATGTGCATCACCTACACAGCAGATGGGACTACGTTTCTCTGTGATTGCGGCAGGCCAGGGGGTATGGGGGGTGCTCAGCATTGCATCTGCCCGTCTCCCAATCAGGTGTCTTTGAAACGCCGCCATGCCTTACATTTCTATATTCCTCTCCGGGTTCGTGGGTCGATCATGTTTTTTCCTAGCATTTGTTTTGGGTGGAGGGCAGAGGGTGAAATCTGAAATGCCGTTTCGATTGATGTTCGAGGTTTGAATTTGCACAAGGTGAATCATAAGAGGCATTGATTTTCGAGGTGCGAGTGCCCATATGGATTTCACCTTGAGCCCTCCACCCTAAGAAAATGCTCAGTGTTTTGACTGCGGAAGGCCAGGGGGTGTGGGTGCCCCCGTCTTCCCGGGCGCCGGCGCCGGCCGCCCCCTGCGCCTGCCCTCTGCCGCCGTCGTCGCGCTGCCCCCTGAGCGGGCCGCTCGCCGTCGCTGCGGATGTGCTCGGCCGCCGCGGCCGCCGCTGTTTTCAGGAGGGGAAGAAACACACAGACACGATGAATCGTCGACTCCCAGGAAATGGGAGAATATAGGAAGTGGGGGGGACGACGAAAACCGAGAAAGTATGGGAAACTATGGGGAATCATGTTACTTGTGTGTATTCATTTGTGTGTCCTTGGGCCCCTTCATCTTTGTCTGCGTTCGGTAGCGAATCATGGGAGTCTGGGGCGTACCCTGTTCATTCCGCCTTCAGCGTCGACTAGCATCGATTCGCGTCTGGGAGTCGATGAGATAGCGCCGATTCAGCGTCGAGCAGCGTCGATTTAGCGTCGATTAGCGTCGACTAGCATCGATTAGCGTCGATTCGCAAGAGCCGACAAGATGGTATGGGAGGCTCCCATGAGCTGCCACCGAACTTGTGGGTGCCCCCCCCTCCCCCATCGGCACTCGTCTGGCGCTAATCAGCTTAGCCTCCCCCGCTGACGCCGTCGCTGGGTAGGGCCCGCCGGCCGCGAAGTAAAAAGCAAGAAGCGTGGTGGTTCCTTGGGGTCGGCTGGGGATCTGAGGTGGCCCAGCATTCAGGAGCGAAAGAAGGACGCACACATACATGAATCCACGTTGGTTTCGAGAATACGCATTGCGCGAACGTTCGTATCACGCGGCCGGTCTCGCGGATTGGGGGGCCGTGTTAATGTACATGGTTTGGCGCGTACGTCTCTTGTGGGATCCCTATCAGCACTGGCTCCGGACAGCAGGCAGGGGGGAGAGGCTCCAGGCTATGGCTGCGAACATGCCTTCTGCCTCCCTGCATTTCCCGGAGGCCGCCTCCGTAGGGGGCCACATGCGAACCCTACCCCTGCCCCCCACGATTTCCGAGGGGGAGGGTGGGGTAGGGGTAGGGTTCGCATGAACCCCTACCCTCCCGAGCCTCCCCCTCAGAAATCGTGGGGGGTAGGGGTAGGGTTCGCATGTGGCCCCTAATCTGGGCCCCGGGTCCGCCCCGCGCGGATATCTGGGCGGGGCGACTGCACCAGAGATGGACCACCAGGAGGGCTCCAGGGAACGATTTTTGGGGCGGCGTTGCCTCTCCGCCCCGCCTTTGCTGGCGGATTTTTCCCTGCGGTCCCTCCAGTCCGAGCTCCGCCCTCGCCGCCGCCGCGCGGCGACGGCCGAGCGCCCGCGCCCGCCGCCCCTCCGACCCGGCCCTCCGACGTCGGCCGCCGGGCCGCCACCGCCGCGCCGCCTCCGCCGGCGCCGTCGGCGTCGCCCGCGCAGTCCGTCGTCGCCGCGGCCGCGCCGTGGTCGTCCGCGTCGTCGGCGTCTTCGTCGCGCCGTCGTCGCCCGCGTCGTCGGCGTCGTTGGCGTCGTCCAGCGTCGTCGTCGTCGTCGGCGTCGGGCCGTCGTCGGGGGCTGCGCGGCGCGGGGCGTGCGCGGCGGGCGCCTGCGCGCGCGCGAGGAGCCCCGGCGGGCATGCTCTCCAACTACGCGCCCGGGGGGTGGCGAACAACCCTCCCGCTGTTCTTGCTGGCTCCTCTTCCTCCTCCTCCTCCTCCTCCTCCTCCTCCTCCTCCTCCTCCTCCTCCTCATCCTCCTCGTCCTCCTCCTCCTCCTCCTCCTCCGCCTCCTCATCCTTCTCCTCCTCTTCCTCTTTGTGCTCCTCCTGGTCCTCCTCCTTCTGCTCCTTCTTCTCATGTTCCTGCTCCTCCTCCTCCTCCTCCTCCTCCTCCTCTCCTGCTCTCCTGCTCCTCCTGCTCCGCCTGCTCCTCCTCCTCCTCCTCCTCCCTCCTCCTCCTCCTCCTCCTCCTCCTCCTCCCCTTCCTCCTGTTCCTCATCCTTCTCATTTTGCCCCTCCTACTCCTTCTCCTCCTTCTCTCTCCCCCTCATCCTCCTCTTGCCCCCTCTCATCTTGGTCGTCCTCATCCTCCTCATCTTCCTCGGCGTTTCAGCTGTGCGCCAACAATCAGGAATCGAGGACTCCGCGCGCATCCATGCCGCGGTAGTTACGTACTCGTCGTTCTCATCATATGTCCCGGTTGGATGTGTTGATCATTGTATTTGGGACCGGGTAGCCCAGTTTGGCCGACCAGTCATCTTCCCCGAAAATGGCGGGTCAAGCGCCGAGGTCGCATTTGAGGGAGGATCAGAGTTATGGAATCGCTTCGCTCATTCCGCCAGCCCGTATTGTGCCATCGCTGGCGTTTGCGTGCGCGTTCGTGGGCCATGCGGCGCTGCTAGTGGGCGCTGCTGCGGTTGTAGGTAAGAGTCCTCATTGATGCTTCTTGGTGTCTCTTCGGAGCGTTCTCGAGGGGCTCCTGTGTAGCAGTTTGTTGCGGCTCTTGGGGGCTTGGGGGCGCCTTGGCTGCCTCTTGAGGCGCTCTTGGTGCCTCTTGGGGGCCTCTTGGACCACCCTTGGAGGGCGCTTGGGGGCCGCTCGGGGCAGCCTGGACGCCTCGTGGGGCCGAGGGCTCGAAGGGCTCTCGAAGCTTCCCAGGAGATTTTTGGGAGGCCTCTCGCGGCCTCCTTTGGCGCGTCTTGGGAGCCTCGTGGGGACTATTTGGGAGCTCCTCGGAGGCCTGGGGGGGGGAGGCGTTTGGGGCGATTTGGAGGCCGAAGGCCTACTGAGAGCTCGTCGGAGGCTTGTGGGCTCTGGGGTCGATTTTGAGGCCGAACGCTCGAAATGTCCGTTGAGGCTCCCCCTCGAGAGGACTTGCTGAAGGTGTCGTGGAGCTCTTCAGCGCCGTCTCGGGAGAGACTTGCCGTCTTGGAGTTCCCGTGGACCGTTTTGGGATTTTGCCTCTAGAGGACTTCGTGGGAGTGGTCGTGGAGGCATTTCGGACGTCTGGGAGGCGGTTGAAGCCGTCTGGAGGCTCTCTTGGGCATCTGGGGACGCTTTCCGGTGACTCTGGGGCCTCTTAGACCGCCTTGGGGGCCTCTTGTGGCGTCTGAAGGCAGCCCCCAGCAGTTCCAGCATCCGTGCGGGGACTGCCCGGGAGTTGCACGGGGTACTCTTCGTCTGCGGATCCCCAGGTGCAGCCATGCGCGCGCGAATTGCATGTGTTCTGGAGCTGATGCCGGAGATTTCAGCACGCCTCTGGCCCGGTGGGCCGGCGACTTCTTCCGGATGGGGGATGCCACGCTCCACAGCCTCAGTGTCGTCGTGGGTCTTCCTCCTCCCCTGCCCTCCCCTTCCAGTGCGGCATGTTCGCGTCGTGTCGGCTGGCGTCGACCCCGCCGCGGGCGTTCAAGCTTGAACGCCGCCAGTGGCCCAGAATCGGCCCATGTGGAACGATCGGGCGATCGAAGAGCCGCCGATCGCTCAAGGTTGAACGATCCACGCGGTGTCAGAAACCGACGCTGGGGTCGTCACGACACGAACCTGCCCTGTTCCTCTCCTCCCCCTCCTCATCCTCCTCGCCCTCGCACTCGTCCTCATTGTCGTCGTGATCTCCCTCCCCCCCCTGCCCTCTCCTTCTGGTAGTCCTCTCCCCCCCCCTCGTCATCCTCCCCCTCTCGCTCACCCTCCCTCCCCCCCCTCTCTTCACAGCTCTGCCCCCTCGGGATGGGCGTCTCCCTTCGCCTCCTCGCCGCCCCCTCCTCCTTCCCCTCCCTCCTCCTTCCCCTCCTCCCCTCCTCATCCTTCCCCTCCTCCCCCCTCCTTCGCCCCCTCCTCCTTCCCCTCCTCCTTCCCCTCTCCTCCCCCCCCTCCTGACAGAGATCGGGGCGGGAGTGGGGGGAAAGGCGGGGCGGTGAGTCGGGGGGGACGGGCGCTGGAGCCGCCCAGGCGTTCACCCTCATGGCGGTCTACTTCATGCAGGCCCGCCCTGCCCCCCTCCCCAGTCCCCGCTCTTCGGGCGGCGGCTCGACCACCGCCCGGGTGCCGCTGGCCTCGCGTGCTTCTCTTTCTCCTCTACAACAGAGTGACCATTAGGGGGGGGGAGAGAGAGAGAGAGAGAGAGGAGCTTGAAGAAGGTGGGGGGGAAGAAGATCGTGGCATGATCTCCCTCCTCTTCCTTATCCTCCCCTCCGATCTTCGTCCCTCCTGCGTTCCTGTTTATTCCCATCCATCCTCATCCTCTTCCCCCGCTGGTCGCGATCCTTCTTCCAGTCCCCCTGCCCCCCTGTCCCTCTGTCACTTCTTCTTGTTACCATGCTTAGTTGTAACATTATTGTTACTATTATTATTTGCATTCGTAGTCGTATTGTTATTTTTATGAGCATGAATATGAGTATGATTAATTGTCGCATCAGTATTATTAGTATTATTAGTATTAGTATTAGTTTTATTGTTATTATTACTATTGGTATTATCCGTAAGGGCTTCGCCCCCTGCCGCCGGCCCCCTCTCTCGGAGAATGGGCCATGGAAGAGCTAAGTCATGAGGCTTTGGCGCTGTCGTGCAGCAGTATCGGAACTTCATGCGAGGCCGATTCGCAATCGGCAAAACCAACTGATCACAAGAGGGGTTACCACACAGGGCGATTGGTAAGACGTGTATGGTTTACGAGCTTGGTTACCACACCTTGGGATTAAAGGGCCGAGGGAGTACTCGCAGTTTGGGTTACCACGCCTTGCGATGGATGTGCGTGAGGGGTGGCACCGAATTTCAGAAATGTGGCAAATCCCTGTGTTTTTGGACCCTGACCCCGCGGATCTGCGTGAGGGGTGGCACCGAATTTCAGAAATGTGGCAAATCCCATGTGTTTTTGGACCCTGACCCCGCGGATCTGCGTGAGGGGTGGCACCGAATTTCAGAAATGTGGCAAATCCCATGTGTTTTTGGACCCTGACCCCGCGGATCTGCGTGAGGGGTGGCACCGAATTTCAGAAATGTGGCAAATCCCATGTGTTTTTGGACCCTGACCCCGCGGATCTGCGTGAGGGGTGGCACCGAATTTCAGAAATGTGGCAAATCCCATGTGTTTTTGGACCCTGACCCCGCGGATCTGCGTGAGGGGTGGCACCGAATTTCAGAAATGTGGCAAATCCCATGTGTTTTTGGACCCTGACCCCGCGGATCTGCGTGAGGGGTGGCACCGAATTTCAGAAATGTGGCAAATCCCATGTGTTTTTGGACCCTGACCCCGCGGATCTGCGTGAGGGGTGGCACCGAATTTCAGAAATGTGGCAAATCCCCTGTGTTTTTGGACCCTGACCCCGCGGATCTGCGTGAGGGGTGTCGATTTCGAGCCCCCCCAGCAATTCAGACAACGCGCCCAGGGGACGCTAAAAGTCTTGTTTGGGCCTCCCCCCCCTCGCGCGGTCAATCAACTAGTTACAGTAACCAGCAAGAAGTCAACTAGTTACAGTAACCAGCAAGAAGCAGAACTGTAACACTGGAAACTACAAGCTACAACTGGCACAGGAAACTGCAAACCCGCGCCTACAGCCTGGTGGCCCCACAAGGGGGCCGGCGGATTTTTAATATTATTATTGTTATCATGTTTATTCCCAACCCTCCTTGGTTGGGTATTCGTTTTGAATAGAGCAGTGTGGTCGCGTCCTTCCTCCTCCCGCCTCCCGCCTCTTTCCTGCCTCTTTCTGTCTTGCCTGCGGGGGGCTGTGAAACTGTCGCCAGTTTCGAGGCCTGCTGGGGGGTCCAGCATAGAGGGTAATCGCGGCAGATCCAAATTAGACCTCGCCATTCCTGGGGGGCTGCGATCTGTGAAACTGTCGCCACTTTCGAGGCCTGCTGGGGGGCTCAGCATAGAGGGTAATCGCGGCAGATTCAAATTAGACCTCGCCATCCCTGGGGGGGGGGGGGGCTGCGATCTGTGAAACTGTCGCCACTTTCGAGGCCTGCTGGGGGGTCCAGCATAGAGGGTAATCGCGGCAGATCCAAATTAGACCTCGCCCTCCCTGGGGGGCTGCGATCTGTGAAACTGTCGCCACTTTCGAGGCCTGCTGGGGGGCCCAGCACAGTGAGGGCCACGCGCGGATTCAAATTAGACCTCGCCATCCCTGGGGGGCTGCGATCTGCGAAACTGCCGCCATTTTCGAGGCCTGCTGGGGGGCCCAGCACAGTGAGGGCCACGGGCAGATTCAAATGAGACCTCGCCGTCCCTGCGGGGCTGCGATCTGTGAACCTGTCGCCACTTTCGAGGCCTGCTGTGATCCCCGTTTTCGAAGTGGCTAGGAGTGCTCAGGAATTGTAAATCATCAGCTTTATCAAGCCCTTTTCCTGTAGCCAGTGTCCTGCGAGTCTCCCGAATTCCGTCTGCAGACATATGTAACCCTCGCTCCGTCATCGCCCCCTTATAAAGTATCATAAACTATTTGCGCCCCGCTTTTGTGCAGGGGTTGGGTACGTCGCCAGGTAGTTAGTAGTAGTAGTAGTAGTAGTAGTAGTAGTAGTAGTAGTGTAGTAGTAGTAGTAGTAGTAGTAGTAGTAGTAGTAGTAGTAGTAGTAGTAGTAGTAGTAGTAGTAGTAGTAGTAGTAGTAGTAGTAGTAGTAGTAGTAGTAGTAGTAGTAGTAGTAGTAGTAGTAGTAGTAGTAGTAGTAGTAGTAGTAGTAGTAGTAGTAGTAGTAGTAGTAGTAGTAGTAGTAGTAGTAGTAGTAGTAGTAGTAGTAGTAGTAGTAGTAGTAGTAGTTGTAGTAGTTGTAGTAGTAGTAGTAGTAGTAGTAGTAGTAGTAGTAGTAGTAGTATTCAATCGCTTCGCTCATTCCGCCGGCCCTCGAGCGCTCTATGGGGCCTCTTTGAAGCCTCTTGGGGGCCTCTTTGGGGCCTCCTAGGGGCCTCTTGGGGGGCTCTTGGGGGTCTCTTGGGGCTCCTCGGCGGCGTCTTGGGCTCCCCTGGGGCCTCTTGGGGGGCTCTTGGGGGCCCCTTGGGGCAGGAGGGGGGGTAGTCGATTGCAGCCACCCCTCGGAGGCCACGATCCTCGTGAGGGGTGGCGAAAAATAGCCTCCCCCCTAGGGATCGCCCGGGGGTCAGCCGGGGATCGGCCGGAGTACTTTTCGTCCGGTGGCCCCCAGGGGCCGCCCCGCGCGCGCGAACTAGAAATATAGTTAGTAGTTACTGGAGATCTTAGCACGCCTCTGGCCCGTTGGGCCGGCGAATTGTTAGTAGTAGTGGTAGTCTTATGCCTCCTCTTAGTCGTAGTATTTGTATTTTATAAGTAGTATTGTTACTGCTCGATTCCTAGTAATGAGCACAACATCATTAGTTGTCGTTTGCTTATTGTTGTTAGTCACGAATTCTCATATTCCTTTCCGTCCTTCGCATCTTCAGCATCGTCATCATTATCGTCGTCATCATAATCATCATCATCATCATCATCATCATCATCATCATCAGCATCATCATCATCATCATCATCACCATCACCATCACCATCACCATCATCATCATCATTATCATCATCAGCATCATCATCAGCACATCACCATCACCATCACCATCACCATGGTCCCTGTTTACTGGTAAATGCAGAACAGTAGCAGAGAGTGGCCGCCATCCGTGACCATTTGAGCTCGAGAGTTTGTGCTAATGATCGGCTACCCTCGGCAGTCCGCGCTTGGATGCAGGCGGGGCTGACGGAGTTCCTCGTGCAGGAGGCGGGGCGTTGGGCGGGCCTGGCTTCGCCCTTCCACGCGAGCCGCTGCCCTGAGGTGCCCGCCTGCCCCGCAGCTCCCCCTTGTCCTGAGCTGCCGCCCTCCCCCGCGTGCCCGGGGGCGCCGCCTGTGCCGGCCAAGGCTTCGGTGGGCGTCGCGAAGGCGGCGGCGCAGACGGCCCTTGCAGGCTTCGGCGGGGGGCTGCTGTGCTGCGCGGGGGCGGCCTGGGCGCCGGGGGCCTGCCCTCAGCGGCGTGCGCAGGCGCCTGGAGGCGAGGCCGGGCCCGCGCCTGATAGCAGCAGGGCGGACGGCGGTGCCTCTCCAGGTGCACGAGCAGCAGGAGTGGACCTCCGTGCACTACGCGGCCCCGGGGCCGCCGGCATACCACCAGCGCCTGGTGGTCGTGTGCTGGCGCTCGGGGTGCTCGGAGACTGAGCTCGGAACCCTCATCGACACGCCCGACCTGGACGGGCGTGGGGAGGATTATCGCCAGGCTCGAATGGTGCGGACCGCGTGCAGGAGGTGTTCGCCGCGGCTCTTTGGCCTCCTCCAGCGGGCGGCCCGAAGGCCCTGCTACCGCTTCGGCGAGGACCTAGCGGGCCTGGAGCTCGCGGCGAGGCAGGGCACCGCTCACGAGGAGGCAGGGCGGCTCTGGTCGCCTGAGGACCAGGCTGTCGGCGGAGCTGGCGCGCCGGTGCCGCTGGACGCCTTCGTGCTGCCGTCGTCGATCGCGGGCACGCTGGCCGCAGGGGCGCCGGCGGACGGCGCTGGAGGCGGTCCGCTGGCAGTGGCGGGCGGAGCGCCAGTGTGCACCGCTGGCGGCGCCCCCCCTGCGGTTCCTGGTGCTGCCGTGGTGGCGCCCGCTGGCCCCTCAGCGGGGCGGCGGCTGCCGCGCCTCCGCCCGCGCCCGACGCTCCTGGAGGGGCGCCCCTGGCGCCTGGGCGAGCCCGCCGCCGTGCCGCCGCCGGGGCTGGCCCCACTGGGCTGGAGCTGGCTGCGCTGGAGGACAAGGATGGGCTCGACGTGCGCGCGGAGGTGCTGGACGTGGGCGGCCCAGGGGGGCCTACGCCGGCTGGGGGCGCAGCGCGGAGGCAGGTGGTGTCCTGCCAAACGGCGCACCGCCTTCGCGGGCCTGGTGGCTGGCAGCGAGGTCGCCCCGCTCAAGAGTGAGTTTAGAGGCAGCTTCGCTCGCGCCTTGCCCGTGATGCGCTCCGCCATCCGCCGCGGGAGATCGCGGACGTCCGCGGTGGCTGAGTGCGTGGAGG